CATTAAATTTTAAATGAAATTTGAATCAATTAATTTCTTGTTCATAAGGTGATAAAGATGATAAATTTCTTTTATAATATTCTTTTGTTACTCCATTTTCCATTTCTTTCACTTTATTTATTCTTGATTCATTATAATTATTATTTGTTTGTTTTATTTCTTTTTCTTTATTTAAAATAACATTATTATAAAGTGTTTTTCCATAATTTTGAATAATATCTTTTATTTTCTTTCCTTCACTAATTTCTGTGAGTGCTTTTCCATTTGTTTCATACCATTTTGGTATTCTTTCTATCATATTTCCTATTATTTCACCACCTGGAAGAAATGTTACTATTCCTTTTGAAATAGGTATTAATTTCTTTGTTATATTACCTGTTCTTTTATATAACTTCCCTCCTATTCCTGCTAGTTTCTTTCCTGTTGTTTTAATTATATTCTTTAACTTTTTGAAGAATCCAAATTTCATAACAATCAATTAATAATAAAGAGTTAATTATTTATAGATAATCTTCAATATCATAATCTTCATTATCTTCTTCATTATTCATTTCATTTTCATCACCGTTGAGTCTTTTAGCAAATAAAGCAGATTTAGATGATGCTCCTGTTCTTCCTTTAGTTTTTAATGAAATATGATCAGGTACTTGATTTATTATTTTACTTGCTGTTTTAGTAATATCATTTGGTATTTCATTTTTAACTTGATTTAAATATCTTTTAGTTGCTCCAATAACATTTTCACCTGATGCTATTCTATTTAATGCTTCACTTGTAGGTTCTGCTAATTTATTCATTATTTCTGTTCCTTTTTTAATAATATTTCCACCTGGAATAAAATCAACAGCAGTATCTATTAATGGTTTTGCTTTTTCTATCATATTCCCACCTAATTTAGCACCAACTGCTAATGCAGCTGCTAATTTCTTTAATCCTTCTTTGAATCTTTTCCAATTTCCAAACTTCATAAATGAAATAAAAGATTGAACTAATAAATCAAAATAAACAGAATGAACTATAACGTTATTAAAGCATTAGATCAAGAAGAAACAGGTGACCTTATTAAATACTTTAATTATACAGATGGAATACTTGAAGCTAATTCAGGTGTTCATGATAATAAATGTTTATCAATTGATTCATCTGATCCACCATGTCCTGTACAAAAAGGAATGTATACAAAATTAAAATTAACAGATGAATCAATTCAAATTACAAATATAGATAAATCATCTATTACAGCATTAGTTAATATTAAAATTAAACCAAGTTCACAATTTTGGAATGAATTAAAAGCACCAGGTATTTCAAATCCAGAATTTGATAATAAATGTGAAAGTATAAAAAATCAAACAGTTGTATTCTTTGTAGGATTAAAATCATCAACACATTTATTTGATGCATATAGAGTATATTCAAGAAATAAGAAAACATCATGTGAACAAACAGAAGCATTATATGAAAATGCAGCCATTAGAATGTTAAAAGCACAAGAAGAATTAGATTATAAACCAGGAATTTATACACAATGGGAAACAGCATATAATATGGAAGATAATATATGTGGATGTTATATATCAATGGAAGAATTTATTAAATCACCAGATAATACAGTTGAAAAAGAATTTGAAGTAATTATTCCAATAGATGATTTATTACCATTTGCTGCTATGAAAATGTTTCCTAATGCATTATTTGGAAATTTAACACTTGAAGTTAAAATGGCAATTCAACAAAATTTTGTTATTTGTCAATGTAAACAAGAAACAATATTAAATAAAATTTCACATATTTCATCATCTTCATATAGTGGATCAGATGAAATAAAAGATAATATAACAGAAGTAATTAAAAGTGATATATATAATATAATTAAAAGAAATGGAGAATATCATGCATTTACACAAATAGGTGATTCATTTAATGTTCATTCATTTACTGGTGCATTACGTGAATCACAAAATATTATTGTTGGAAAAGATACAACAGTAAGTTTTATGATAACAGATGGAAGTTTAAAATATTGTAGAACAAATATT